AAGCACCAATTGCTTCAACTAGAAAAATACTACCAAAAATTCATCATAATAGGCTACAAAAATAAAGAAACAGCTTGAAATAACGTGCAAACCTGTAACAAGAAGAAGACTCCCATGGCGGCCATATGTTCACCAGATTGCACATGTTGAAACCCAACAAACCGAATCTGCATAGCAAGCAGTATTCCCAGAACATACATACAATTATACGCAACATACAATCTCATTGAATACCTCCCGGTAATCAAAAGCACCAGTACATATAGTGGGATCAAGTTAATAATAAAAACATATCCTCCCCAGGCTGAAACCATGTAAAAATAACCAAACGCAGAAGCTAAACTCCAAGCCAACGATCCCGTATTAACCGCCTTCACGAACAAGTAAAACGTGAAAAGCAGAGCGAAAATGGAGACCCTTTCATTATCATAAGAACCAGCGACGGACCTAGATATGTAACCAGGACAAACGGCGATTAGAATGGCGGCAACGAGTCCGGCGCCGGTATCCCAGATTTCTTTCCCGAAGAAATAAGCGACTAGGGTCGTATTCGAAGCGAAAAACGGAGCGGTTAAAACGCAGACTTCGCGGATATGGACGGCGAAACGAAGGAAATGGAGGATGCGATAAATGAGAGCGGCGGTCACCATGAGACCGGGTAAAGCGTGCCGCCGACGATTCGGCCTAAAGGGTACCAGCTTTTATCGTAGTCGAACCAGTTCCAGAAATCGTAAAACCCATTTTGGGTAAGGTAAAGAGTGGTGCGATAATTGAAGTAGGGGTCGAATTCATGTATCATGGATTCATAACGAAGGACCGAGAAGACGGGTAATGAAGGCCAAGATGTAGACGAGACAGAGGATAGTGACACGGATCAAGAGCTCTTGTTGCTTTGTTTTGAGTTTGAAGGACTTCACCAGATCTGAAACGGGCATGTTCGGCATCGTCGCCGTGGTTTTATTTGCTGAAAATTCTGGGTTTGGTTAAGATATGGTTTTTTTCTAAACAATCATATCGAGGAAGTGGAATATGAAAAATGAAAGATTTGAGAACTCAAACCCTCAAAACACACACAAACACTGGGATTGTCAACTAATCTAAAGTCTTTGAAATTTAGAGTTTCTGAGTTCTCATAATACCACTTCTCTGAGCTTTCTGAGTCATTGTTTGGGTCTGTTAATGTTAAATTGGGCTTTTCTACTTTTGTTTTGGTCCAAATTTTAGTTCTTGTCTTGTTTCTCGGGTAAACTACACGTTTAGTATTTTAATTATCATTTTTATTTTAGTCATTCAATTATTTTTTTTTAAAAACATATTTAACGTTTAATTTTTTTGTCGCCCATCATTAAAAAATTAACGATGACGTTGATGTATCACCATAAGTTAATGTCACGTCATCAGTAATTCTGTTAATTTTTAACGGTGGATAACCAAAATAAAACCAAAACGAAATATTAATATGATTTGAAAAAAATAATTAGTGACCAAATAGAACAAAAGTAATAATTAAGATACTAAATGTATAGTTTACCTTTTTATGAATTGAATGGTTTGCATGCATAGTTAGACCAGCACAACTCCAAATCTTAGGCAATAGATTACAAATATCTGTTTTTTTTCAATTTAGATATATTATACTTAAATTTACATATTTTAAAACCACTCACATAAAAATAGATTTGAATATTAGTCTCTACGTATTTATTATCAAAATTCGATTATTGGGTATGAAATATGTTAATAGAATATAGTGATACAAAGGATAATGAATTCATATTTGATATTCATTAGGAGTGTAGTTATTCCTCTTTTACGATTATTAGGGCCAAAAGAATAGATGGTAGTAATTAGAATTGATGTTTTCAAGATACATGTTGAAGGTGAAGATCTCAATCGATTCGATTATTGAAGATTTTAGTGGTAGGCGAGGATCTTAAGAGATTTCAAAAGCTGTCATGGAGTACTCTTCCATTAAATCACAACACAGTGAAAATATCTCCATGTCGTTCCTCCCTTGATTCTGATTTTCTGGTTGGAGTCTTCCTGCAATAAGTAAGGAAACTTGCAGCCAATATAAACAACAAAAGTAGACCACCAAAGAGTGGAAGCAAAGCTAATTCGATGACTTTGGTCCTTCCTCCATGGCTATGGTTGTCTCGGCAAGGCCTTAGTCCAGTAGTGTTACCGCATAAGGCTTTATTGTTCACTAAGGCATCGAATGAAGCCTGGTGAAATGCCTTAAGGTCTGGAATAGGACCTTCCAATTGATTGAAGGATATATTCACAATTCTCAAACCATGCAAATCATTGAAAGCTTCTGGGATGGAACCATTGAGCATGTTGTGAGAAAGGTTCAATATTTCCAAGGACTGTAATTTTCCAAACTGTTGGGATGCCTCCAATAAGTGAATTCTGACTCAAATCTAGACTTTCAAGAGCAATAGCATCGCTTATTGAGGATGGAATGCACTCTCCAAGGTCATTCATGCTCAAATTCAAGTGGAATAATTTCAAGCAGTTTCCAAGTTGATCAGGAATGGGTCCACTTAAATTGTTTGATGCCAACTTAAGTTGTTCTAGATTAGAAAGAAGACCAATCTCGGATGGAATTTTTCCTGAAAACCGGTTACTACTTAGAGAAAGACTGGATCATTTTCAATGCTCCGAGTTCCCTCGGAATCTCAACGATTAGATGATTCAAAGAGAGATCGAGTTCCTGCAACTGAGTTGCATGTCCCAACTCAAGTGGTATCTTTCCAGTAATGGTTATGGACTAATTGCAAATGTTGCAGACGAGTAAGATTGGTGAAGGTTGGAGGATTTAGGCCAACGAAACTAGTATTAGACAACTTAAGTTCAAAGAGATACTTAAGCATGCCTACCTCTTTAGGTACCGACCCATAAAACTTATTCTTGTGAAGAGAAAGAGTAGACAAGTTGGTCAAGTTTCCAATGGAAACAGGGATTGAACCACAGAAATGATTCTCACGCAGCACAAGTTTAGTGGGAGTTTTAAGCTCCCATAGTCCTCGTCTCCTTGAGGTATTGACCCAGAGAACATGTTACGGCTAAGGTCAAGAACAGATAAGCTGGTGAAGTTTGTTATCTCTCGAGTTAATGAGCCAAAAAGCGTATTGTTTTGCAGTTGGAGGTGCACGAGAGATTTAAGCATTGCTATTTCAGATGGGATATTCCCTTCGCACCATCCTTTATATATGAGTTACTATGTCAACGAATCGCCACATTAATATCATAACAATATCATAACGATCAACAATGATTTTCATCAATCAAAATACCATATTAGTTAAGTTTTTGAGTTTAAGAGTTTAATTATGAGGAAAAAATTAAAATCTTAATTGATTTTTCTTATAAAAGAATAGAGAGTTTTCAACCTTAAGCCTATTTATAATAATTTGGCTTAATACAAAAATATATGTCTAAACTTTGCCTCGTCAAACGTTTTAGTGTCTAAAGAAAATTTCATTAAAAATAGATGTTTAACGTTTTCATCAGAGATTTTTAGGTGCCTAGACCGTAACGACCGTTAAATTTAGTCGTTAAGTGACACGTGTCACGTTCTGATAATTTTAAGAATTTATTTAAAAAATTAAAAAAAATAAAAATATTTTTTTAGTTAAAAAAACCAACAACTACCCGCGTCCCCCCTCTCCCTATCCCCTTCTTTTTTCCCCTTCCCCTTTCCACGATCAAAAACCCATTGGTTTTTCGTCGTAAAGTGTCACCATTTGCCATAGAGACGCGTTTAAATGTTCGTCAGATTTTAAGTCACTGTCATTGTTTTTAGTCGATTCTGGCTGATCCTGATGTCCATAAGCTACACCGCCACCACCGTTCGAACCACCGTACAATTCCTATCAAAACTCAAGTGTTCGACGACAATGGTAGCCGAAAATGGCCGACGATAGTTGGTAATAAGGGTTGAAATGAGATATTTTAATTTTTTAGAGTTTTTTTTATAATTTTATTAAAAGTTTGGGTTTTCTATAAATAAATTAAATTTTTTTAAGTTTTTAAATAATATTCTTATTATTAAAAACTTTTAAAAAATTATTAAATATATATATATAACAGTAGGCACCTAACGGAAAACGTTAGGCACCTATTTTTAACAAAAATTTCTTTAGACACAAAAACATTTTTCGAAACATTGTTTAAGCACTTATTTTTGTATTAAGCCTAATATTTTTGAAAATAATAAACATTTAAGGCTTAGATAAATAATAACTTCAGTTATTATTTGATATTTTATATAAAAAATATCAATTATTTGAATATAATAAACTAAATCTATTATTTTCTAACACAAATGATTATACGATACGGACACATAATAAAAATAATTAACACTCCACGTGATACGTATAAAAAGAAAACAAGACACGAATATGTCAAAATCTACATAAAACTAAATAGTAACGTACCAAAATTCATATAATCATGTATAATCATCTCTTATTTCGTAGAATGTTGTTTATGGATTTAATTAGAATCATGCAACAAAACAATTTGTCAGATAATTTGTTTCTCACCACTCTTTTATCATTTCATAAAACGTATCATTTACTAAAGATAAGAAAATTTTATGAAAATTACTGAGATCTTTTGATGTAAATCATTGTTCTTAAGGAAATGTTTCATTTTTCTTCATATCTTTAGGTTTAATATTTTTATTTTTGTATGAGTTCTTTTTATGACTATTGTCCCCATTTATCTTTATGCTTGGGTGTCTTGTGATTCTGATTCCTTCCATTGTTCTATTAATTGCTATTGTTAAAAAATATATCATAACAATATCAACAAGAAATTGATCGTTTTAAAAATGTCAAATAGATATGTAATGAACATATGCCATAAATACAATTTGAGGGAAAAAAAAATTAAAGCATGGCAAAGAAAAAAACAATAATGAACATATAGTACACATGATGAACTCGTCAAAACCTACATAAATAAATTTATTGTGTTGCACTTACAGATGTTCCAAGAAGAAAACACAGTTTGATTTGCCAATTATCAAGAGGTGTATACTAGATTATTCTGATTAGCAATTCACCAGACTTCAAGCATGCATTTCAGCAAATTAATGAAAAACCAACACAAGTAAATTCGGTGGAACATACCAAATCGAAAGGTTCGGATAGGAACATTTATTATCAAGGAAGATAGCAAACCGAATGTTTAAAAGTAGTTGCTTTTGTAGAAATTCTTGAGGAAGTCGGACGTTCCTTCATCCTTGGTGTCCTGAGCAAGCCCTTGACGACCCAGTACATACTGCCCAATAATGTGGTGCCGTTGTTTCGCATGTTCGACGATATTGTTCAGTTCTTCCATACCCTTAAACAGCAGCAAATCAATTACCTGCAGATTTCTCACCGTTAAGACCATTGAAAACAGTGTTTCCAAAATCTCAGTCAGCAAAACATTAGCAATGTATAGATTCAGGAATCCTTCCCATAGTTCTGAGTTCCTATACCAACTTGTTCATAAACAGAAAATACAAAAATCATACACCAATAAATAGACGAAACAAACCCATACTGTCATCAAATTAACATCAGGAACAACGCAGCTCTGCCAAATGACTACAATTTGATATATTTGAAATATATCAATTATCGACCATTGAGGCTCTTCTACCTAAAGTATGCTGAAGCTATTAAATCTAAATATTAGGTAGCTAACAAGATAATAAACAATTCATTTTCGAGGGAATGTAACATTTCTGGGCAAAACATCACTTAGAACAGCTGCCCACAAGATAAATGCTCCTAAAACATTTATTGAAGACTTCAACATGCGAATACAAGAAGCAAAGAACTTTCCAAAAGCACACATAAAATCCAACTATTCATTTTTCTCAATGGACACAAGTACAAGAACATGTTCAATGCATATCAGGACAAGGGTATGGATATATGACCCTCCAAAGATCCTTCGAATACACGAAAAAGAATTAGAAAATGTATTTCTTATGGCATCAGATTCTCCAGAAAAGCCTGTGATACCATTTATACACTTATAGCAAGATTGATTGATCAATTTCCAAATATATATATATATTATTTGCAGCACAAATTATATATGATCAATACATATGATCATTTTGATCTGCAAAATAATCTTCCTTTCACCAACAACAGCCACAGTATCATCTGGCTAAAGTAAAAGAGTTATTTAAGATGAAAAAACAAAGAGGCTTGGACCATATTATCTATACTATTCAAAGCACTTCAAACTCAAAACAGCTTATGGTAAGGTTACATCAACTGACATTCAGAAAATTTAGCTGTTCCATTCAAAAAGCAATAACGCCCATCCAGCTCATGCAGGAGTAAATCATAAGATGTACCGTATCTCACAGAAATCATTCACGAAGCAAACGTAGGTCAAAACAGGAAATACTGAAACAGTTATTCACAAAGCTATAGATACCCCAGATTAATCTAAACAAATCGTTTCAACAAAATCCATCAGCTTTTACCCAGGAAATCCTCACAATCTACTATTGACGATGAAGAAACACATGAAACAAATTTGATTCTACAGCATAATTTAGCATTCCCATTATATATAAAGATATTGCAATGATACTTGCCCAATTCAATAGAAAATAGAAATTCCCCCACTTTTTCCCTCACAATCCCACATCAACTAACCCTTGGATTATCTATTTTATTCATTCATTTTCTTTTCTCTTCATTCAAATTACTATAAATCTAAAAAAAATTATCGATACTCATAAAAAAAGTTCAATCTTCCATACTTAACAATGAAAAAAATTATAAAATTCCCAAATCAACAAACAAATTAAATAAAATGATCTAAAAATGGAGAGAGTGGGAGACGGACCTTAGGGTTAGTAACATGGGTGTTCTTACGGATCTCGGAGGCGATGATGGAACGGAGCTCGGATTTGGTGACGATGTCGTCTAGGTTATATATATCCATAATAGTCGGGATTGATCGACAAGCTTTTCTGAAGAAATCGAAGACCCGGCCCCTTGCTTCTTCCAAACTCGCTGAGTTCGGAGGTACTTTCACGCTCCTCAATGTGAACGCCATTTCCGTAATCTGCGTTGGAGCTCGACTCGTTCAGTGACTGAGTCAGGGCGTGGGAGATGGATAAAGGGAATGAATTGAACTATTAAGCCTATTATCAATGTAAAGACTCCGGGGGCGAAAGCGCTGTCGTTTTGTGCAGTAGATCGGTCCATCGATGGACTGATGTTTTCGACCCGGGTTTGAATCAAGATTTTCAGTCTAAAACTCTAAACCCGGCCCATACCCAACTCAAATTCATTATTTTATTAAATAAATAGTTTATAAATTTATCTATTTTAATCTAAATATAATTTTTTTTAAAAATATCAGTATAAAAAGATTTCATTAATTATATCTCTATCATGATTCATGGGATAGTTATTAATTAGTGTTCCAATTACATTGTTTAATTATGAGGATTAATATAATTAGTGAATAATTAACTTTTTTAATAATAATAATAATAATATTGTTATTATATGTTAGGAGACTTTTATAATAAATATAATATTTTTTTGTTGTCCTCCTGATTCCTCAAAGTTTTGTTTTGATTAATTCGGACTAATTTGTGTCGCACACCTGATTTTTGTGGGTGATTCTTCTAACAATAATTTTCTACATACACAATGCCTTAAACCTAAGATTTGCTTAAACCATATCAAACTGCTTACTACTTGAACAAACATACGTTAGTTATAATTATATAATGATTTTTAATATAACATTAACTTTATTTCTATATATTGATATAATATGTTTATAATAAAAAGTAATTTTCAATATAACATGAATGTGTGTATACATAACATGTTATATTATTTTTATAATATAAACAATAATTCTTTAATATAGCATGAACTTTGATAAATATGTGTAATTTTATAAAGTTACTTTGACGAGCATGAAAAATAATAAGATAATTATGATACAATTCTTATTCCGATGATGCTAAGATATAATTAAATCTAATCAATTAGTAGGAAGTCTTAGTTTTCTCTTTTATAAAGTTACTATGATAAATATGTGTAATTTTAGTAACTGTAGTTAACCTTTTGTATTTGTTGTTTTCCTTTATTTTCTTATATAGACTAATCTTTATTTTTATTTTTCTTTTTTAATTTCTAATAACTTTATTTTTATGACACGCTTTTATCTATCTGTTGGTACACTTTGAGTTTTTTTTATTAGATGTTTGATCATTATTTTCGTTTAATTTTCTCAGAGTTAGATTTGACATCACATCAACTTATTAAGATAACTATTATTTGTTATTCAATTGATCCTCTTTGCTTTAGACCTTCAAATTGGATGTGGATATGCAATTTACATTCAAAGATAATTTTCTCATGATGTCTGACTTTGATTTGTGATTATCAGTATTCTTTCAGTAGTTTGATCTCATGTTATGATTTGTTTGCTGATGTAATTAGATATGTTCGTATCTATATTTTGTTTATTTTTTTAACATTTTTCTTATATGATCCTTTTATGATCTTAAGTACTTAGTTCTCTTGTGTCAATAATTATAAGAAATATCCTAGTTATATATTCGATTTACGTTTATAATTATAATCATTCATAATAATTTTAGATATAATATTTTTTTAATAAAATTAACGGGTTTTTTTACATAAAAAAATGTTATTCCGATGATGAAAAACTTGACCAATAACCCCTAAATGATGATGATTATATACGTCTCATGACAGATTGAATAGCCCAACAAATTTGGTATGATTGACTAATTATATAAAAATTTAAAAGACGTTTAGTTTTTACTTTTAATAATTTTATTGTTGAATATTTATTTAAATATTTATATAATATTTGTATGTATTATTTTATAATAATTAATATTTTATAATTAAAATTCTAGTTTAAATGATTGTGTAATTACAATATATACGACGAAACAATAAAATCATTTAAATATGTTCAAAAAATTAAAATTCATTGAATTACACTTGTGCATCCAAAACGCACCATGAATTTAAGAAAACCTTTATTTTTAATATTTTTAATTTCAAAGAAAAACAACTCATAATTTTAAAATTCACATATTTCTCATTTTTCAAAAAATCAATTTTAAGATTTTCAACCAAATCATTATTTAATTGGATTTAACAAGATTTATAATCTCATTATTACTCTACTTATAATCATTATTTTAAAAAGTTCTATGAAATATAATTTTTTAAATAAAATATTTTCTTTTATCCGTATTGTGAATAATTGAATATGACAAAAGCAAGAACTATGATCCCAAGGGCAAATCTCTGTATAAACGTCAAACAGATGTTAGAGTAAATAAGTTCTAAAATGCTTACAGCAATATCATTCACGGTTAGTCTTCAGCATATGTGTTCAATGAAATATCAAGTTTTACATCTCGCCACACTCGGCTATAATGCATGGTAGTTTCGTCCTGTTGTTCGGCCCTGTGGCCACATTCTCGATCTTCCGAACAACGAGAAGATTATCTCCAAGCACCCTCTACATGATCACGGAAAAAATAGTTCGGTTATTCAACTTTAAAAATTAGGGAAATTCGGATGTATTCTGAACTAAAAGGTTAGAAAACATACCCCGAATACAACGAGCTTATTATCAAGCCACTCACATTTTGCACATGTTATGAAGAACTGCAGTCAACAAACACCGAAATCAATATACCAATGGTTTAAACACGATGATTTACCCAGAAGATTTTACAAACAGTCATCATATAGAAAAAAAGACAATACATGGTCCACGAATTTGCAACAGCAATATTTCTACCTATTCACCTAACTGGGAATGAGCAGCCAGAGAAACATCTCAGAAGCTTAAATTTGAAACAAATAGCAACGTTATACTATTGTGCCTTTAATAGAGGAGACACTTGATCATTTACTCATACTGTATGCATGAATGAAATCGGCGTTTCTTTTTACATGCATCAGACTGCACGCGTGCGAGTGTATGTGTGCTGTGTATAAACAAGCAAGAACGAGAAATTGAGTTAAGTTACCTGACAACCATTAGTGTTTGGACCACTGTTGCCTGCAACATAAAAGGCAAAAAAAACAAACAGTATATAACTTTAGTAAAATTTCACTGAATTTTTTCATACTCTGTTACCACCACTGGTCTATGTATACTTCTCTGTCCTTCAGTGTGAAACTATGTTACTCAGGCTCGTTCGTGTATAAAATATATTAATGTTCAATTTTTAATGAGTTTTTCAAAGTACTTAGAAGATCATATCACTATAGCCTTGTCCAATATGCATAGAACACAAGAATTGAATATGGGTACTTAAAGAAAAATAAACCGTCAGAGCAACACAAGTGCGAAAAGTTTCCAAAGTAGAGAAAGGAAAATATATATAATATATAGCCACTCAAGATTACATAGGAAGCAGCATACCATTGATAGCAGCCCCGGACCAGTGTGTCTGGTGATAGAATTTTCATCTTCAAACTTGTGACCATAAATGGAAGTGCATCCACTACCATCACCCTGCAATGTAAAATTTTAATGTAACCATTATATAACATCGGAGAAAATCGATCACAACAACTTTGTCATTGAAAAACATGTAATCTGTTGCACATTGTTTCCATTTAACAAATCGAAACAATCTTCCAAGTTATTGAAATATTGTTACTTTGGCAAAAACCACCCTCCAATTTGAGAGTATTAACCCATGCATTCAAGGTAGGGGCATACAATGAAAGAACATAACAGCATCAAAACGACTACTTCAATCATATACTCAAAATCAATTATAACCTACAAGACACTAAAGAAGCTAATTCTGGCAACTCAAGAGTCAAGACTAATATGATTGAGAAGATTAGCTAAGATTATAAATGAAAAATGAAAGCCCATAAAAATAATAAACTAGCAACCTTGAGAAAATCTCCAGCTTGAATCATAAAATCTTTAATAACCCTATGAAATTGGCAACCCTTGTAATCAACAGGCAGCCCTGCTTTCCTGATATCCAAATAATAAAATGGGTAAGTAGCAATTACTAATGCAGATACAGATAATTTAAGTTCCAAAAAAATGAAATGAAAAATAAACCTGTATTCGCCAGTGCATAGTTGCCTGCAAATGGAGAAAAAAATTAAAATTCAAACTTCAAACAGAAAATGATAGGAGTGCAGAATAATCGTAGAAAAAGAAAAAGAAAAGGAAGTAGAAATACCTGAAATTTTAGGCGGTTTTAGGGGTGATCTCAGAGAAGAGTTCCATCTTGATACGTCCGGCGCGGGGGATGGAACCGATGGTTATATCGAAAAAGACGATTGGGCTTTTGGGATTCGGTGGCCTAACGTGCCACTCCACACTTCCGCCGCCGCCTCCGACTACAGAAGCCATCGCCGCCGTATGCGACGCTCTTTTTTCCTCTCACAACTCGGGTACTAGGAAGGTTCTGGTTGCAGTCTTTTGTCAGTCGAGGGATCTTGTTTTCCTTTACCGGCTTTCAGCGGTAAAAGGACCTTTTAAAAGGCTGGAAACCTTTTAGGGTTAAATTCTTGTATTAGTCCTTGTACTCTGTGTAAGTAGTATATTTAATTCATGTACTATAATTATTTGGGTAAACTAGGAGTTTAGTACCTAAACTACCAGTTTTGGTCTGTTTTAGTAATTAAACTTTCATTTTTTTTTTCAAAATCATGTCTAACGTCTAGTTTTTGTTTCATTTTAGTATCTTTCGTTAAAAATTTAACGGATGGGCTCGTTGGTCGTCGTGTCTACAGTCATCGGCCATCACATCCGTCGGTTCACAAAACCCAAACTTTCCAACCCGCACCTTTTCGATTCCCTAAACGTGATTTCGACCTCCGTTTCACTGGAAAATACCTCAATCTCCCCAAATCGATGATGAACTCTTCGATTTCTTCATCCTCCGATCTTTATGGTCCACCGTTCGATGGGCCTAAAATTAGACTATGTTGGTCGACTCGTCATTCTCTCGTGGTTCACTATTCAAATTGATCGTCCATCCACCGAAGCTATGCCACGTCAGCCCGTCTGTTAAGTTTTTAACGACGGGTACTAAAAATGAAACAAAAACTAAACGTTAGGTATGATTTTTTAAATGAAAGTTTAGGTACTAAAACAGACCAAAACTAATAGTTTATGTACTAAACACATAATTTATCCTAACTATTTTTAGTTTTTATAACTAAGCTTGAAAATTTCTATCCTGATTTGAACAATTATTATTAATTTTGATAACTTTAATTATGTTATTAACTTATACATTACGTGTAAGTTATAGATTTAGTTCGTATTCTTCAATTTAAACATTTAAAATTTCTATAATTTAATCATATTATTTTTATGGGTAAAGTACACAAATAGTCCCACGACGATAGGGTACTACTTTGTTGGGTCTTTCAACTATTGAAAATTACAAAATAATCCCCCAACTATAGTATATTGCTTTGTTAAATCCCGACTATTAAAAGTTACAAAATGGTCATCCAACTATTCATGTGTTCCAAACTCATCATTTTTCGTTAAAAATTTGACGGCAGTCTAAGTTTGATGTTAACCTATTGTTTGAGATATAATAAAATATGATCTCATAATAATCTCAAGCGGTTATACAATTGAAATGATTATGAGATCAAATTTTATCATATCTTAGTTAGCATGTTAACGTACAACTCAGATGACCTTCAAATTTTTAATGAAAAATATAAGTTTGGAACATATGAATACTCGAGTGATCATTTTGTAACTTTTAATGATCGAGAGACTCAACAAAGCAATTTCATATAATTTAGAGAATATTTTAAAACTTTTAATAGTCGATAGACTTAACAAAGCAGTGTCCGATCATTTATGTACTTTACCCTATTTTTATATGATTTGAATCAATACTGAAATTTAAAAAAGTATACGAATTAAAATTGACTCTGACCTTAATTTTCATAGTTTAGTAGATGTGAATATTGTTTAGTAGATTCATGGCTATTTGTATTTCATTTAAAACCAATTTAAAAGGCAAATATAAAACCTAATAATCATCTATAATCTCCTAAGAAATGTAGAAAAAGTGAAAGACCCGTTAATTGTTAATGTTTTTTTTATTTATTCGTTTAAGGTAAATATAAAATACTATTTGTTTTAAAAAAAAATTAATTATTTAATAATAAACTTTATATGCTCTTACAGATATTATACTCAAATCTAAAAATTTTAAAAATAATAATAATTACTTAATCACTCAAATATTTTTAATTAATTATTTAAAATGCTGATGTTAATGTTATGTATGCAAAGTTACATTTTTTTTTTCACCAAACGTTGAAATTCTTCTGTCATTTCTAATAAGCCCCACTAAGCCCGCTAATTTTGTAGATATTTTGTAGATAGCGAGATTATGATAATCATGCGGTGTATTTTCGAAAATTCTAATTTTTTATATAATTTATTTTTATTTTTCATTAATAATTTAATCTTATAATTCTAAATTGTTTTAATTTCATATTCTTTAAATTTATTAACATAAAATTTTATCTTCGTCTTTAAATAAGTTAAAACACCTGTTATTTCCACAGTTAAAACTATTCAAAGAATATCACGGAGAAAATGGTTTATAATTTAGTTTGATTCAAATAATATAAAAATAATAAATATATAAGTTAGTTTTAAATTAAATATCTAAATTATATAAAATAATTGTATTCATGTAAAATATTTAAATTTGAATTTAACTTATCTTTAAAGTTGAAGACACTTTGTTTTGAAATAACTGAATTTGAAATATTTCGGATACTAGAAAGTTTAAATAAAATTGTAAAAAAGAGAGAGAAAATATTGAGACATATCTCATATGGAAAATTCTATCATGTATTGATATTTACCACTAATTTTATAAGATAAAATTTACAAATAATAATTAGATTATATTAAAATGATCTTTTTAGGTACTAAACTTTTAAAACTTTTATGATGGACATTAAACTTTAGATTTTATTACAAAACGAGCACAATACTGCTATATGCCATTAAATATATGATGTCACATGTTAAATTACAAAAATTCTCATTTGACCCTTTAATTATAATTAAAATTCCATTTTGATGTTCAGTTTTATTAAAATAAATTTATTAAGTTCGCTGATGTAACCCCCTCAGACCGATGCAGGTAACCCGATCCGATCTGGGATGGCACATTAGGGCCACCGGAGAGACCCATTGTAAAAATATCTGAAAATTTAAAACTTTTATTAAAACATTTAAACTCATAAAATGATTTATTAGTATTCAGAAATAAAACATGTTTTCAAACTCAGATATAAAACAAAATACAATCTACATGCCCCCTAATCACATGTACCATACTCTTCAAGCATCGCCGGAAGAACTCCCTTACTGGTGTCGATAGATGCATTGATACAATTTTTTAACCTAAAAAGGTGAGTAACAGAGTGAGCTTTGGAAAACTCAGTAATACAGAACTACCAGATGATGTTGAAGAACGTGTAGATACATATAACATATATTTCCTTATTGGTTCAGATATGTACATATTTTTAGGCTAAGCTAAGGTTCCACTGATGTCTCAAGTAGTAACAGATAGTAAGTTTCAGTTCAAAGGGAATTATTTCAGGTGACTGGGTTCAAAAGATCAAAATAGGTTATCTGGTGTGTTCCCGCAAAACCGGTGAAAAGATACAGATCTTTTTAAAACATATTTTTAAAATTCAAAAACCATAGTAATTCCCCTAACCGAACACGTCCAAAATGTGTAGGTTCCCCAGAACCATGCACCCACCATCACGTCCAGTAAGGCCCTGAGCACAAAGCCGAGGAGCCTGCAAGTATTCTTCCTCCAACAATACCCCCTAAATAAAACATGTTCCGTCCGTAAACGAATATATAAAAAATCAAAACATAATTCAGGTCAGATATCATATCAGAATCCATGTCAGGTATTAAAACAGAATCCATGTCAGGTATCATAACAAAATTCAAATCGAAAATCAGATAAAATATTCATGTGATTAGGGAACACACTAGAGTTTCCAGATATTATTCAGAGATATTGGACAATCTTATCGGGTAGAGAAACACAAATCTTCAATATACCGATAGAATATTGGAATTTAGAATCACTATTGGAAAAGTTCATTAACTGACAGAATCATCAGTTATTCAGAATCCTTTACATCTGAGTTACTTATATTTTCATATATGACCAGAGTGATTTGAGCTGCTAAAGGAGAACAAAGAATCAGGACCTTTACAATCTATATCGATTGATCGGATTATCGAACAACTCAAGATAAACATCTCACATAACTGATGCTTGTTGATTGGTCAATTCATTGCCCTTTCAGTGTATTTACTCTTTAATACCAAATATTCTTGTCCATAGATCATCTTCGGAATCATCGTTGAATAGATCGTCCAATGGTTTTTATTTCATTTCCACGCTTCCACGATATCATGAAATGTTGTCGTGCTTGTTTTGTAGTTCATGACCCATAGAGGTGATACATCATGTAAGTTCATCCAAGTTTCCAGACTTATCCCAATCACTTACTTAATCCTCAGTCATTGAGGTTACGTAGTCCATTTAGTAGCCAAGTCTATCTCGGTTATGTCGACACTGTTTTTCGCCCGGGCGGGGAAAGATTGATACCGACTCGGGGGTTTTCTATTTGAAAATCGTTTCAAAAGGTGAGGAGTCGCCACCAATCATTTAAGGTGTGATTGGAACACCGTAAAAACCGGGTGATTTTAATAAAACATTTTATTTTATAAAATACCGAGTTTTGGGGTCTGTGAAAAATCCAGAAATTAGGTTCGGGAGTCGGTTACGCGTGGGGAAGGATTAGCACCCCCACAAGCGCCCAAAAATTGGTACCTAGTTGATTACCCTATATTTAAAATTAGAAATTTTAAGTTCGATCTTTATTTAATTTAAAAGTCATTAAGGATGCAAAGTTGAAAAGGGTATTCGTTTATCGAGACCGATAGCATTCACCCCCGAGCGTAAATGTGGGAGATCAACTATTGTGCCTAATAACCGAACATTATCTTGTTTTTAGAAGAACATGATGTGGTTTTGAAAAGGATGTCGACTTATTTAGGGAATTACCAGTAGTCACCCCCTGAGCACGATCGCGGAGGATATACTATTAACTCCTTAATAAGTGAACAGTGCC